TTATGGAAACAAACAAAAGAGGCTACATTCTCAAAGTGAAGGTGGTGATGAAAGTGCTTCCAAGCTACTTTTGTATTCTCACAATCTAGCTGATGAAGGAAGTGGAAAAAATTCTTGATGTAGCCTTTGTGGTTTTTCCTAGGTGTAGTGCTGCATGTTTGCTACCTTTTTACCAGCTGGTTCTTCTAAGTCTTAGGAGACTTTACAGGACTTACAATGATCTCGGTATTGAGGGAGGATCCCTTTAGAGCACACAATCTGAACGTAGGTATGGAAGCCTGGTAACGACTGGTAGAGGAACATGTTTCCCAGTAGGATCTTACCCTGTTTTCACATCTGTCATTCAGCAGGCTTTTGGGTGCATATCTACACACCCATTCCTTCATCTCTCAATGAGGATAGTCTTCTAGGTATTCATAATCTCTGCTAGAAGGTTATGGAATATCCAAGTCCTTGGAGGTTGTCCTTATTGTCCCACAGTGAACAAGCACTAAGATAAGATATGAGCATGGACTTATGATGCAAGTCCAGAAGCATAGAACTGCTCTTCAAAATACAGGCACTTTCTCTGGAAAGTCAGTCTTTGTGGCATTACTGAACAATTTCGCCATCTGAAGATCTGCAGTGATGCCATCTGGAGTGCCATTTACCCTCCTGCAAAATCTACACATCTGAACATATTGCAACACTTAGCAAAACACGACGGCTGCCAGTGTTCTAAAAACAAACAAACCAACTACGAAAATCTGTAAGTAACAGTTGATAGGTGATTGGAATGCAGGCATGCATAGAGTTGACCTCTGTTCAAAAGGGTAAACCAGAACACCGTTTGGCAAAGTCTGTCACAACTTTATGCTGACGGTAGGTGGATTCACAGTTCGCCCACTTCTTGTGCTGTGGAGTCCCATTAATAAATCTGCAGGTCAAACTGAAAGGAGGGTAAGTCTTTGGGCTTCAGTGTTGGAACATCCATAGTCTGTGCCAGTGTGTCAATACACATACAATAATTTTCAGTTACTTCTATTGTCTGATTTTCTGTAAATTCCTGAGTAATGCTTTACATATCTTTATTTTCTTAATATTGATAAGGATACCTAGATACCTGAAGGTGCATAGAAAAAGGTGTTTAAGCAGAAAGTAATTCTTGGCAAGAGCTTGGTTACCAGATAAACTGATTGAGTCCATAAAAGGCATTGCACATGTACTAGAGCATCTTTTATATATGTTTTAACTATATGTTTTATCTAGGGAGTAGTTACTGATAAAGCTATGTAACACTAGAGTATTTCATTTGGAAGGGACCTACATCATCTAGATAAGGAATGAAAACTAGGAAATGAAGCTTTTTGGTTGCAAAACGCAGTGAGGTTATAGCACATCTTTTCAGTACCGCAAGAAATAAACATGTTGTTTCAGGAAGATTCTGGTATCTGAAGAATAAATTATAAATTGTCATTATAGTAGCTGAAAATCTAGTAGTTAATGGCTGACTAGCATGAAAAAAAACCCTGACTATATATAGCCTTAGAGTGGTCTTAGAAATGATGTATAGAATATGCATACTTTGAGCGCTTTAGTGGGTTATTCTGTGGAATTAGTTTTTTTCCTTCTGCTGTTTCAGGAGAGTAAATTCAAATGTTTAAAGAAAAGCAAGTATTTCTAAATAGCTTTGGAGTGTATACAGCAGCTAATAGGTGTGATGATTTAACTGACTTGCAGTGAGGAATATGAAATTATGTACTTAATCTTAGGTTTGCAGTTTTAACACCAGTATGTCTTCCTTAAGTCTCCATTCTTCTCTTGGTAGAACTGGCAGCAGAAGCCCACATCCTTTGCTGCACTGAAAATATTGAAATCTGTTTAATTATTCAGTTATAAGTTGGTTGGGGTTTTGGTTTTACTTAATGTTTAGTAGCAAATGCTTTCCTTTGCCAGAATGCATGTCTTGTTTATTGAAGTTATAGACATTTTTTTACGTAACATTACAGGGACAAAGCAAAATGTGTAATGTAAACTTCATGAAAGCATGCGCTTGTGCCACAACTTCTAAAATGTCATTGTAATGGGACTAAAAATGTGTGTATTTTGCCATTTTTGCTTTAGTTGGTGTTTTAGAAAAATTGCTGTTGACAACCCTGTAATAAAATAAGACTAACTGGGCACTCATGTTCAGTCAGATAAGGCCTTATCTACTCAAGAGACTTTGCTTCCTGTGAACATCCAGAATGTAGAGGTAATAATTTATTAAAGGAGGATGGCTACATTACTTTCTGGCTTGTATATTGTTAACAGCAGTATTACAGTTGAAGAAAGTCTATTTTTGGTGATGTGTCAATAACTAAAATGTTAACTTTAAATTTAATTTTTTAAGCTAAATTTACAATGCAGGAAGAATATAAATATCCTCATATTTAATGCAGATAATGAACCTGGGTCATGGGAAGCAGGGATGACAAGAAAAGCTTTATGTACAAACACAAAAAGCCTCAGACTTGCAATTTAAAATCTGAAGCAGAGACTTGTACTGAAATATTTAAGTGAAAAAGTAGCTGGCAGTCTTTGTACTTGTTAGAGACTCATCAAGGTCAGGGGTAGTTCTTATTCTGTAATTATAGTAAAAAAAGATAGATATAAAAAACTTGAGATTTCAAAGAGACAGTCTAGACAGACGTGGTATTTGCTGGCCTAAGGGTGAGGACAAAACTTTCCAGATCCAAAGTACAATGCAGTATATATGCCACCATTGTACAGGAACATTGTCCTTGTTCCTCAGGGGGACAGAGCAGAGCTTGCTCTCCTTCTAGGCCCTCTACAAGGGTTTTCACAAGGAGTTATTCCAAAATGGACGGCTGCAAGATAACAGATCTCAACTTCATTTTCTATTTTTTTTTTAGAGGAATTAAATTCTATGTAACCTACTGTAATTTTTGGAGCTCTATCCATAATTGCACAGCCTCATAACAAATGTGAAATGTGCACATTATGAGGAAGAACTAGAATTTATTTTAGTAAGGAGCAGCTATCAGAAACTGTAAGCAACTAAAACTACTGCTAGGATACATCACAATTTTATGTTGCTTTCAGCATGACTGAGTATTCACAACTATTGTAAATACCCTCAGTGGTTGCAGCTATTGACAAAAGGCTTGTCCCACATCTCCTAATGATTTCTACTATGATATTCCCAGTATCACTGGGGTTTTTTTTGGTTTTTAATGAGAACAAGATGAATTTGTGCCCCTGATCTTGAACTACTACAGTTCTTTTGTTCTTGATTTCTTTGTTACAGATGTGCACTAGACTTATTGTTGAAGTATACAATGTCTAGCATGTGCTGTGGGTGCAATTAGTTTTAAAGCCCCTTCCTGCATGATTTCCTTCCTGTTGGGTTTTGGGGGTTTTTTGTGTTTTGTTTTTAATTGTGAAGTCATGGTGTTCCTGAAGCTTATTATAGTGTCACAAAGGGTGTGGAGACACAAGAAAATCCTTACCTCTTCAGCCCATACCCAGGGATGATGCAAGACAGACTAGGGTCAGTTTACATGTTTTAACACACCCACCCCTGAAAGCATAACAGTCAAGACTTCTTACTCAAAACTAGTTTTATTTTAAAAAATAAGTCGAATGCATAGCACTCACAAAGATTCCATTGGTTGGACATTTTGCATTTAGGAGCACCATTCTTATTCATGCCATAAAAAACACATTTTGGTTCTAACAGTAAGAACAGCGTATTTTTAAATACGCTGATAAAGCCCTTTTAAATAATATATTGAAACTGTTCAGTGTACATTTTCTCTGTAGACATTATGCAGCTGTAGTGTCAGAAAAAACTTAGACTAAGTAATAAATTAAAAACAAACAGCATGTAGTGGATCTTTTTACAGTTGACCCAATGTCTTAAAATAGTCAAATAAAAAAATACCCCATTAAATGTAAATTTGCAGTATTAACTAACTGAATACACCCCCGCCCATTATAATTCCAGTGTTAAGTATTAGTTATATTTTTAAATATCAAATGCCTATGGGATAAATTTACTAATACTCAAAAAAAAAAAAAAAGCCTATACTGCTGTGCCACAAATAAAGATGACAAGTTAGCTGATTTAAAGATCTTACAGAAAAGATTGCTACAGGCATCTGCTGTTATTTCAAGTTGTGGTCTATTACAAGACTGTACATTCATAGCATCAGAGGTAGTTAAGAGCATTTAGGACTTGGATATAGCATTGCAACAAAATGAAACCCAGAGAAAGAAGTCCCTTTCCCTCTTAAATGGGCAACAATGCTGAATAAAAAACATGGCATCTTATGAGGTGGTAGGTCTCTACTGAACACTACTCTCAGACATGGGCAAATATTCATTAAAAGATGGAGAGAGGAGAGAAAAACAAAACCAAGAACACCACAACCAAACCAACTTGCACTTTATTTAAGAATTGACCCCACTATGCCTATTTCAAAGTTGATTCTGTAACATAAGGCAGAGGATCATCTCTTTCATTCACCCTCCTGACTTGCGCATACATGCTACAAAAGCCCACCACAAAAATTGGGATTTATGCAAAAAAGCCCAACCAAACCAAACCAAGAGAAACAGGATTTCTTCTCCTCCGCAATGTATAGGTTTTTGTAGCATGTTATCATTCAGCCCAAGAAAGAATGAATGCAGCTGTCTTCCCTCCACTCTGAACATTATGGAAGGCCCTTCTTCTGTGATAAATATTGATAATGTTATCTTAATTGCCCCTGCTTTCAAAACAATCTCTATAAGATTCACAATACTTCAGGGTCATTAGATGGCATACAATTTTAAGTGCTGCCACTAAGACAGGCCAGAAGGTGGTAAAAGAACAAATAAACAAAAAAAGCCTCAAGTCCACAAACTATAAAGATATTTTAAAGTAGTAAGAATCCTGTCACACATACCCCTCTCTCCCATATTCTACCACAGGAGAAAGTCAGGTATCTTCTTGTATTTAAAGAAAAAAAAACACAAAAACAAACAACCCAAAACCAACCCTCCATTAATATCACCATTTTCATCCAATAGTTGGATGAGTGAAGCTTTCTACCCTCTGACTACCCACTCCACAGGAGATAGTGTAAGTCCATAAAGTTACATAATTAGCACCTTAATTGTGATAAAGCAGTTCACTCTGCAATATATTTTTGATCCACCCATTTAGAAGAGTAAATCTCTGCATTTTCTCCTAGAACTGCAACATAGTAGAAGAAAAAGTTGCCCCACTATTACCTGAGAATTTTCCTCCACTGTAAGCCTGGAAGTACATTTAACTGTACTTTTTTTGTACGAGTGATACCATCAGTACAACTGGAGGATGCTCTCTGTTGATTAATAATACATGTGTGTTTGTGTATACACAGAGTAATCGCAGCCACTGTAGTAGTTCTGGTACAGTACAAGTTCAGCTGAAACTCTCTTTTCTTCAGTTATTCAGTAGCACACTGCTGGGCAGTAGCTTACATCTACATTCTGTGAATACTAACATATCCCTTTGGTACTCCTGCATATAGATGCCCTGAAGAAAAGCCACTCCACCTGCTATAGTGTCTTCCCTCTTTACCTTTCTCCCTTCAAGTTATACCCAATTAAGTATACAAACCAGCAGCACAGAGTAATGAACAGAAAATTCCCTGAGTTAGTATGAAAGAGTTACTTTAAACTTAAAAGGACAGGGAAAAGAAAAGAAGCAAAAATATAGTGTCTATCCTGTGAGGTACAAAACTTAAGAACTAGCCAAAATACCAGTTAACTCAAATGCCTTAGCCTAAAGCAAATATCCAACACATATGCTGAAAAAGGGGCAAGAATACAGAGTTAGCCAGATGAGATCTGTTTCCTCCTGTGGTTCCCATGTATCTGGAGAAACCTGGCATTCAATGGATTCTGAAGTTTCAGTAAACTGTTAATACTGTATGGTGGTATTACATAAATGTCTTCAAAATAATACTGTGTATCTCCTTCATTAAAAGGTAAGTCTATAGTTAATCCACAGCTACTTTTGACTAGTATTTCAAAGATGTGCGTCAGAAGCACCGAGTATTCCAAGTGCCAGAGTAAGAACTTATTACCCCCAGGTATACACGTTCTTTTTGGAGGGTGTTCTGTGTGCTTGTAGCAAGTCTGTATTTGACCTATGGTACTGCTTGTCAATCCAGTTGCCTTTTTTCCTAGAAAGACACTCTTTTATTTGATTTGTTGCCCTCAAACTTATTTGAGGGTTAACAAAAAAAAAAACAACCCAACCCAAAACAATTCCCCTCAACACAACTTCCCACCCCAAACAAGCACAAAACTATTCTGTACTTATCACCTCTCAAAGCAGGGAGTAATACAGGAATATCGTCCATTCATTTGATAACTCCGGTTGTAGGAGACACTTATACATGGCTTCACTTCTAGCGGAGCAGCAAGTGACATTGCAGCACTAGTCTGTGCATGGCCTCGAGCCTGAACAGTAGACTGTAAGGCAGCAGGGCAAGTCTGAAGTGGGTAAGATGCTGTATGATTAGATGATAATATCTGTTGACACTTTTGCTGCTGTGATGCCTGATGGTGATACTGTAATGAAGACTGATGAGCTTGGAGATACTGTGGTATGTGCTGTTGAGCATTAGCCTGCTGGGGAGTTGGAGCTGGGGTCTGAAATACAGTGTGTTGGGCAGACTGAGCATGTTGTCCTTTTTGCTTGTTTGCTTCCTTCACATCATTATCATGCGCACTAAACAAATTAAGAAGACAGAGTACATGAAAATAGATATTAAAATAATTTAAGCTCTTCTAGGTTAACATTTAAACTGCACAATTTTTAGAGTGCTCCACCTGAAAGCTTCCAAAGCTTAAAAAAAAGAAAAAATAATTTTAGCCTACCCTTTAAATCATCTGTGATTTTAAAATTTGTTTCTCTAGAATACACTTTCTTTTCAGCATTTCACTTCATTGCACAGCAATACAAAATGCAAATAAAGAGCAAGTACAATACAAATAATACAGAAGTATCTAAAATTACCAGTGCAATATAATCTACTGGTACTGCAATAAAGTGCCAGATTACCAGAACCTGAAATTAAAACTTATTTGCTGCTTCTACCACATTTAAGTTGGGTAAGAGAATATAGGGTTTTTTAAGACATTACATCAGAGGGTTCTTAAAGATGTACATTACAGTACTTAAAGATCGTATGTATACTAATATTGGATTCTGTTCTGGGGAGCGGAAATGCCTTTTTTTATCTTCCTCTCACCTTTTTTCTAGCCCACTGAGCACACTTCAGTTAGATGGTTTAGCTCACCTGAATTCCCTTTGATTTACACCTGTCTGAAATGTATTTAGCTGTACTCTTTCTCTTGCTCTTACACTGAGGTTAATCAGGTGCCACCTACATACTTCAGTCAGGCCTAAAATCTAGGGGGGTTTTGTACAAAACGGGGCAGATCTCTTGAAGACAGCTGGGGTTCAACCCCTCAATAGATTTTCCTGAAAGACTGCTTTTTATGGTGTGCTGCAAGGATGACCTAAACACTTCACCTTTCTCACACCCCACAAATGTTCCACAGCAGTACTGAAAATTCTACAATAGCACTCACATACTTTAGGTACTGTTCCTCTAATTACACACATTAGCAAAGCAAAAACAATGTCACACTTATAATGAATATGCCTTTCTTCCAGATACAGCTGTTCCTGTGCTTCTACAGAATACAAGTGTGTTTAGATCTGGGCAAAAGAAAACTTCTGTAGGAGGAAAGCAGTTATGGTGGGCATAGGTTTTGATCTTAAGGGTTAGAATAAAAGAACTTATTGTATAACAACCCTTCTCAGTAAGGTTTGGCATTTTTGTCTCATGTCAGCTGTATGTCTCCACTGTAGTGCAGAAACGGATACAGCAACATTAAATAAAACCTCCTGGTCACTTCCTCCCCCCAGAGTTGGCCACTCAGTCTGCATAATCTGTTTGGAGCATCCCTTGAACTTCCAAGGGTTAGAGACTTCAGAATAAGTAGAAGCTCCTATGCTTTCAGTACTCTTCACTCTCTTTTTGCTCTCTGAGCAGACTACAGAGATTGGGAACAATCTATTTAACAGATTCTCAAAGCATGCCAGAAGATGTTCAGTAGAAATGCAAGGCTGAGGTTTGTTGAAAGAACAGGAAAGAGGTTAGATCTGTTAAGATTTTCTTTTTTTGGAAAGAACAAAACAGTTATTACTTAACTATATTACCTAATACCTAATTATTTTTAGAATAGAAAAACTGAAATTAAAAGAAGAAATTTACTCTGAGTGCTAACAGCCATTGAACATACCAACAGATCCAGAAATGGGCTTAAAAAATAAAAATAAAGCTGCTGTTAGCTTACATTAATAGTCGCTCAATACATGGCACTAGAAAATCCCAGGAGTATGCAGTAAGATGATGCAGTCGGGTAGGCCACGTTGGTGAGAGACGCAAGATGATCCTTGAAGAAGCTACACATGCAGTAGCAACTAAAGAAGGAGCATAATTTAAAAATGCATGATCTAGAAGAAAGGAATAAGAAAAGGATTAATTTAAGTTGGACATTGTCTATCAATGCAACAGAGGAGTCATTATCTGGAATACATAACTCACCTTGCAATGATACTTCCAGAAAGTAATCAGCATATTTTGCCATATATAACTTAGTCTTCTCTAAGCAAACCATTGGCCAGCCATCATGAAGATCAGTCTCATGGACAGCAATAGAAAGATAATAGTCGATGAAATGAGCAGCAGTTGGGAGGCACAAATTCCACTGAAATGTTTCTAGCAACAACAACTCCATATGAAGCAAATTCTGTTTTGTTAGTACCAAATTCATGTTAGTCATACAACCCAAGCTGTTCAGCTGTTCAAGTTTGGGAACGCTGTCTTCCTTTTCTTCAAATTTACCTTCCGATGAATAGAAAGAGGAGGGGAAAAAAAAAGTAAGTTTCAGCACAACTGAACTGCAAAACAGCTTGTATCTAATGTCTGCATTGGTCATATTTCAATTCAATGTCAAACAAGATCGAGACTTTCCTGCAGATGCAAAGAGACAAAAAGTGGTATGTACTATAAAGAGCTGTCAAACACTCTGTAGGATATTGTGCAGTGCATACTTCCTGTTGGTTTTCACACCCTGGCACACACAGAAGTTGGTTGTGAAGTACTGCATATGCAATTTTTTGTCACCAAATTATTTTATATGTCTCCGTCATCAATGAAATACCACAGTAATGTGCCTTGGCATACACAACACTGCAACATTTGGCTTTCATCACCCTCCTCCCCCCACACACCCTTTTTGTTTCTAAAACTCATTAAGAGTACAGCTAGAGCCCTAGCTAACGTGGCTGCTTTTAATGCCTGTTATGGTAGGCATCGGTTTAGATTTGATAGCTGGTAAGCCGCTCCTGCCCTTTAAACAAGTGAATTTCAGCAATGTACAGCTGAAAACCTACACTGCTATATACACTGTTTCAACTTTAATGCTGCTAGCAGCTTCAGCTTTCCTTGGACTTTTAACTTGTCAGGCCTGTATGGTTTTAGCCTGAAGCAAAATTGTGTATGTAGAAAACCCATTAATAAGAGAAACAAGTGTCATATTTCCATACAGTTTGCCATATGGTTGTGCTATTTCAATTTCATTGCAAATTCTTTCCATCTTACAATCTCTATTCAGTACTATATGATATGTTGTAAATGCACATTTTTAGGGAGTTTTGCAGGACTGAACATTCCCCCCCCCAGCACTCAAGGTACTTATAGAGGACTTAATCCAATACCAGCCTCAGTCTCTTAGTTTTTGTTTCCCATACTCTAGTAATTACAGAAATAAAAGCTTCAGGAGTCACATCATAATTTCTCTTACTACTTCTGTAACCTTATCAGATACATCATGGTGTGATCTGCCTAATATATTGCATCACTGATTAAAAAGGGCAAAAGTTTAAAATAGCATTCTGGTTTGTATTTTCTGAAACAATTCATGCACTGCTGCTTGGAAGAACAAGCAGTCTCAGCTTTTGGAGCTCTACTTGCAGCTTGTCACGAAAGATGGCAGAGGCGATTTTTTTTTTTTTTCAAGTTATAATTCTCTTCACAACATGAATTTCATTTGAAAGTCTGGCATTAGTTCAAAGCAAATCCATTTTCCTAAATGGATTACACTGGTTTCTGAGGCAAGGTTTTCATACTCAGCACCTTATCCTTTGCCAAAAGATTGCTGGCTGGTGGCATCCAGTCAAAGTTTACCCCAGAAGAATCTGAAATAACCCTTTTCTTGTTTAACTGTTCTGCTAAATAGCTGTATCGGTGTGAGATGGGGATGGAATGAAAGGAAGCAGTATAGCAAAAATAGTCAACACCTCCGTGCTCTGGTTTTCTAGCAGAGAGGACATGGAGCTATGATGCCATACATTTTATTTGAGAAAATTAAAATATTCAGGGAAACAGATCAGCAGAAACTGAACCAACAGTTAGCTCTGCTGCCAGGACCCATTTATCTGAATCTGCTGGTTTAAGAATAAATGCAGCAGGTATCCCAGCAAACTGTACCCATATTTCTTTGGGGACTTCTAAAAGGGGTCCACAAATGTCAAAAGATGGATACACACCACAAGAATCTAGCTGAGGTCAATATATGCAGCACTGCTCATAATGAATGTTTGTAATTAATTCTGTTTTCAGAGTACTGTACATTCACTTTCATATTTCACCAGTATTACATTTTGTATGTGACAATACAGGGTCTATGTTAGCCTTAACTTGCTTAATGAATATTGCAATTTATGAAATCTGAAGTATTCCAGAACCACACATCACCATCAGCAGGGTGCAGTGCAGTCTACAGATGGTTTAATTTCTTTATCACAGTTATGCAAATTTCTTATTTCCAGCACTGGATCTACCTATTTTAAGAGGTCCTCAGAAAGACAGTCTTTCTATTCCTACAATACAGCTCTGAAAGTTCCCCCTAGAACAATTTGTTTCCAAGTACAAATATTAGTTTTTCATGTCAGTTTGTTTTTTGTTCCATCAGTTTCAACAGGTGCCAAAAGGACTCAAAACAAGAGTCTAAAGAAAGGCTCTACCAATTGGGCAAAACTGATATACACTAATATGCCCCTCTTTTATAACCACTTTGTTTCCCCTATCTGCTATATCCTACCAAGACACACCTTGTATCTGGCAGCAGAACTTACATTGCTCTAGTTAAACTTCGGTGCTACATACTTACTTGCTAAAAGTAAACAGGAAAGAGCAACCACATGCAGCTGCTGTATAGATATGTCATAACGATCCATAAAGAGGTCCAACAGGTACACAGCTAGATGTCGTGCAGCAGGACAAAGCCTGAACCGATTGCTCACAATGGCAATCAGATCTGCAAAGTATCTTCTCAGATGTAGCTGGGGAGATTGTCCTTTGTAGGAGGGCAGCTTCAGCTCCTAGATGGACAGCAGGATGCAATTTTGTTAAAACCATTATTTAGTTTAATTGGTATCAGATTAATATAGCTGACAGTCTCAAACTTTTAATGGAATTTTCAAATTTCTCCCCTCTTCCTTCTGTTCCCATTATTTCAGCATTTCTTTTCACAGAACAAAATCTGTTATATAACAGAAGAACCAAGAAATAATTTGGTCCTGCATAATATTAGTGTAACAATTTTATATTTAACATCTTTCAATCGGGAAAATGGCTCAAGTGACTTTAGCTTTTACCATTTCTGTTGTATTACCTCTACTGCAGAGGCTGTACCTCCCAAAAAGGAAACAGCAGGGGTGAGTACTCCTCAGCTGCTTCAATGCAAAGTCCAATAGCTAACTCAACCCCCTCACACTACAGCTCAACTTGAGCAATCAGACTTTGCACTGAAGCGTCTGCATGTTCCAATGCTACCAGATCTCTGCAGGTGCCTCCAGGAGAAGGGCACTAACTGGTAGCCGAAGGTAGTGATCTTAGGAAGAGGAATGGGGAATGCAATGTGTCAACATTTGCTGCACGCATGTTTAAACCCCGAGTTAATCTGACCTGATTGATGTTGCACTGGCACTGATTACAGTGTGCTCTCAGGTGTTTAGTTAAGTGTACATAAACCTCGCACTGTCTCAGATCTGAGGCAGGGACCCCACAAAACAAAAGCCCTACCAACACCACAGATGAGAAAAACCCGTGACATGGTATTTGGACTAGTAGAAAGAACATTCCCCAAGCTCCTGCCTAGTACCTCCTCTTGTATACAGCAGAACAGCAGTGCTGTCCTTTGTTATCATTAATAAATTTATGAGTTGGATTGTGCAGCCTACCTATTGCGTGTAAGTAGCATTTTGAGTACAATTACATTCCTGACAACATCCAGTTGGAATGGAGTCAGCCAAATTTTCAGAGTCTTAAGGTCAAAGTTCTGAAACATGCTACTGAAAAAAACCCCTAAACTTAATACCCCCCCCAACACCTCCCATACCTATTAAGCTTTAGAATGCATCTTTCACAACGCTTTAGTTTAATAACACTAACTTTGGTAGCAAATAAATTATCCTGTCCTCCTGTCCCACCACCCCTACTTCAAGAAAGTCACACTTGAAAGAAAGATAATCCACTCACCAAGTACTATCAGGCAGCAAAAGTGCATTTTTAGTAGGCTCAGCCACTGTAAACTGTTTTTCAGCTCCGGGCTGAAAAGACGTATTTTATTAAGAAAGCAGCCCCAAAGAGCAACTTTGAGTTAGCTGAAGTAACTTCAAAGCAGCATTACTTAAACCCTCTACTCTTGCTGCACCTAGTGTTTGTTTGTTTGGCTTTTGGAGATTTTTGTTCCAACAGCTCCACAACGCTTTCCGCAGAGCTTAAACTTGAAGCCATTTCCACATCCAGACAGAAGAATTAAGCGCCCCGTGACCCCTGTCCTTTTTTAAATGCAGAAAGGAGTCCGGTCACTCACAGAAACTGTCACGCCCGAGAACAAACAGCCTGAGCCTTAACTGAGGATAAAGCAAACTCCACCGAAGTCCGGTCGCCTCACTCTTTCCACGCCGCTTCCAGCCACGGGGCTGGCTCCGATTGTTCAGCCTTCACAAAGGTACCGAGACCGCCGCCGTCCCCCGCCGCCCACCAAGGTCCCCCGCTCAGACCCTCCTCCCCGACCGAATCCCCGCCGCGCCGGGCTACCTTGTAGCGAAGCGCCTGGTGGATGTCGGCAGCCAGCTGTCCTGTCCACCACTGCGCCTCCAGCTCCATCGGCGGCGCGGCGCGGCGGCCGGGGCCTGGGAAAAGGGGGGGAAGCGGCACTCACTGAGCGCGGAGGGCAGAACAGGACGGGACGGGACAGGCAGCACCACCCTCGCCCCTTCCCCACTCGCCCCCAGTTAACCGCGATCAGCTGCCGCTCGCGCCGCGGGGCGCCCCCGTACCCCCAGCCCAGCTGTCCGCCATGCGAGGCACAAGTGAGGCTTGTTAAGCCGCCCCCTCCCGCTGCGGCGCAGGGCTGAGCGAAGGGGGCGCGGACCAGGCGGCGGCCCCAAGGAAGGACGGTGGCGCCCCAGCGAAGTTCGGCAGCACTTCCTCTGCTGAAGCCGCCACTCACCCTACGCAGCGGCGGGGCTGACGGCCGCGGCGGGGCCGGGGCACCAGAACGCAGCACGGCGTCCCGAAGGCTCCCCCGCCATCACGCGGCGCCGCCCGCCTCACCCATTGTTAAAGGGCCGAGCGGGCCGGCGTGTGTACAAAGCCAGGCAGCGCCCGCACGCGGCCGCCAGCCCACCAATCGCTTGCGGCTTTACAGCACGGCCCGCCTGCTGGGCGCCAATCAGGGTGCCGCGCTCACGGGGCACGCCGAGCTCTGCGCTCCGCGGCCAGGCGCGGGAAGGCTTTGGGCCCGCGGAGCTGCCGTAGCTGTCCCAGCGGTACAGGCCCGGCAGGAGGAGCTGGGGCGGGCTGTCCCCGCTCACCCAGGGGGTCTCGGAGCTGCGCAGGGACCCCCGTCAAGGACCGGCGGTGCAGGCCCTTGGGGCGTTCCCGCAGGGTGTGAGGGGAGAGCCGGGTAGTGGGGCTATCCCCGGCCCGAGCAAGGTGGTGCTTATCCCTCATAGCACCTGACGGCACCTTTTCCCTTTTTTTTTTTTATTTTTTTATTTTTTTTTTATCCTTGGCTCTTTTGTGTTTCAGTTGTGAGGTTTTTACCACGTGGAATGGTTGTGGTAAAAACCGTCGGGAGCTGCATCTCGTTTGCCTCCTTTACACTTAAGACATGTAGAAAAGGACATACACCTCATGGGCTGTGAAAGCTACGAGATTCAGGTATTAAGACTATTTTGTGGGTGAGCTCTTGTTTGTTGCTAGTTAAACTCCTAGGGGAAGGTTTGTAATAGCTTATGTCCCACTTTTAAATAGCCTGTGCTATTCACCTGAGCTAAGGAGCCTCAGCATCCTGACAGTGATGATAAACAGGACCTCCCACCTGGGCTTCTGGCTGAACAGTAGGTGTTGTGCACCTGTTTTGCACCTTTTCAGAAAGCCTTTTTCTAGATGCTTTCCACCTGCTGGTAACCCCCTGCTGTGCAGATCTTGCAAAATAATACTTGGTGCTTTATAGTGGTTTGCATCTTTGAATTCCCAAATACCCAAACGACTAGCTAATAAGAATGTAAAACCTAGTACAACAAGCAATGCAAAGCAATGAAGAAGAAATGCTTTGGATGCAGTTTATGTTGAGGTAGTGTGTTTTTTGTTTCTATCCATGCTCAGGCATGATTTTTTTTTTTTTTTTAATTAAGAAAATGGAAGCCAACTTTTTGGCATAACCAGTTAAATGACTGTAGCCAGGGTTGTAAAATCCTGTTCCTTTAAACATGCGCACCTTAACTTTAGTGGGTAGTCCTATGGACTGAAGTGCTCTGTTTCATCTGAGGAGGTGTGCTTGTAGGTGGAAGCCATAGTTTTTGAGAACATGCTTCTTGGGCAGTTTCCATTTATGACAGTTTTTGTTATATAATAGTTCCTGCTATTATATAGGAGGGAGGGGAGAACAGGAAAAGTTAGTATTTTTTATGCATAATACATAATTGAGAAAACTCTCCCACAGTTTAATTAGCTACCTGAGCTCTGTGGACTTTTGACAAAGTAGCATTTTGCTGTTTTGATGGCTTTTTGTCTCATTTCTATACATTCCTTTATAGGCAAGTGTATGCTCAAGCTGGTTTTGATACTTACACTGTTTTAAAATTACTTATTCTTGAAGAAACATAACACCAAATTTTGTATTTCAAGGGTAAGATAAATCTCAAAAGCAGACTTCTGATGGAGATGTTGTCATTCACAGAAACTTTATGGCCTTCAAGAATGTGTTGCCTGCTTGAAGAGGTGAAAGCTAATAAACACCAACATGCTAAAAACCTGTTACAGTGGGCCCAAGCAGGAAAGTGGTGTTTCTGCTCTTACATACTTGGAGAAATTGCTATTAGCAGTGCTGCCTCCCACCAGAGCTATTTAACCATCATGTGCATTAGGCTGTTTCTAGACTGTTAAGTGAAGGGGGAAAAGAAAAAGTGTAGATACTTCCTGGCTTATTTCTCAAGTGGGCTTGTCTGATTTGGATAGGAAGCATCATCTTTATCCTGATAAGGCTATGTACACTGAGAGCTATTTCATCTTCATATAATAATTCAGAAAATAATGCTACAGTTACTTGCCACACTACAAAGATGACTGAACTGTAGAACTGCCAATTTCAGATCCTTGTAACAAAGATCCTTAACTGTTTCCTATTTCCACATTTCTATGTGCACATTGCAACCTATTTTAATTGAGCTCTTGCTCTTGTGAAGTTACATGTGTGTCTGTTTTTCATGCAATCAAAAGATAGGTTTGGAAAAAGCCTCATCATCCTGCCTGAGGCCAGCATTGCTCCTGGCATGCATTTTTCTGATCTTGCCGACATCCAGAAAATCACCCTATTGACAAAGCCAAAGCACTTCTGCACTGCCATGTTATCTGCAGGAAGCATACATTTCACCTTAGGCCTTGGTGCCAACCGGAGGAATTGAGAGCAATCTTGAAGTCTCTAAACTGAGGCTTATTTTTTTCAGAGTTTGCAAGTTCACAGTTAAATGGGAATGGGAGTAGCACAATTGTAACAAGGTTAAGGCAGGTTCTTTGCATGTTTTATGGTCAGTCCTGAAATATCCAGTGGTATTTTTTTTAACCAGTGCAGATTTTATCTAGCTTTGATGGTCAAGGCTGTGTATGGTGCTTGAAGTGTTCCTTAGTCCCCTGCCTGTAAGTCAGGACAGAATCAAAACAAACTCCCTAAGTCCTTGGAATAAACAGAGGATATTAATGATTACTTTCAGGGGCAGTAGTTAGGCTTTCTTTAGCAAGAATCTGGAAGTGTGAATTTTCCACTTATGTGTGGCACATGGAACCTGAGAGAACAGAAAGCAGGACTGAATGTTAGGAAACCGTTTTGAAATGGGTATCATCTTTCTGTGAATGACCATGAATCACCTAAGGAAATACATGTGTCTCAAGGGGGAAATGAAATTGGCTGCAAGAACTGCTGTATGTGCTTTGAAAGGGTGCCAGATAGCAAGAAACACCATTATTTTTGGAACGCCACAAGAAAAATTATGACCCTGAATTACATCCAAAACAGGCTAGAATGTAACCTGTGAAATCTGGACTAAAATGCTTGTAACATTTTTGTGGAATCTTCTAAAGAGGATGCTGCCAAAATCTTACAATTTATGGACCTGTAATTCACAGGTTATAGTCCTAATACAATTTCAGACATGGTGGGTGAGCTGACTTTTCTTTGTAGTTACTGTGAGGTTAGATTGTATCTCATGAGTTGATGCATGTATTTATGTGTTTTTTCCTACCCTAAATTTTTGGTGGTGGTTCTTGGCCTGTGGAAAAAGAAATATGGCTTTTAAAATACAAATCAAGAACTTGAAGGTAATTTCCAAGTATAGGAAATACTCTGATCTTGAGAACTACCATTTCTGTACATTAGAAACCTTTTCCCCTTCCTAGTAACAAAGGATCCATTTCTGGTATATAGTTCTTAGTTTTAATGGTACATCAACCACAGAGTACAACAGATTCTAAAGACTGTCATGTTGATTTACTTTTATGCTTGCTGTCATAAGAGACATCTTTGAAGTTTGGAATTTTCTTGACTGGAAGAGTGAGAGGAATCAGTCACTTCAGCTACGTAAGCAGAGTCCAGGATAGAAAGTGAATTCTGGGGTGACATAGCAAGGAAAGAAATATTTAAATAATGTCTCAATCCCTGTGTTAATTGTTCTTTTATTTATTGCTTCTTGCTTTTGTTTTGATGCTCTTCGGTTGTTCTCTTCTGAATAAAGTGATGGTAATTCTTTAAAAGGCATTTTTGAAGAACTGCTTTTTTTGAGCTATGATGTAAAAGAATCGTAGTTTTGTAGAACTGAGCATTATTAAAAGAAAAAAATAAATCCTCCAGACTTTGTTCTTGTGTTTCTTGGGGCTGAGAAAGTTAGCTCTGCTTTTGTTACTGTACTTGTTGATCCTATTTTCAAACAAATGCAGCATCTGATGACATTCGTTGCCATATTTCAAGGGCATTTAATTAAAGGGAATGAATCATTCTGAAGAAAGGACTGTAACTACTCAAAGGGCTCTTTTGCAGCATGGTGGTAGATGAAATGTTGCATGTCAATAAAAAGAATTGTAACACTTCAGAAGCATTTGTGGGCAGTCTCCAACTGAAAGTACTCCAGGGTTGTATTTATAAATGCCTGTACTGACTGTTGAAGGTACTCTGTGGGTAAGATTTTCAGAGATGTCTGGGGATTTGGATTCCCAGAATAGCTACTAAAATGTGATTATCAGATTTGAACTTTACTGGTAAATATCCTTTGGAACTGTTGACTTTAATTGTTAATACAGCTATTAAGAGAGAAAAGATCTGACAATGCTTTGGCTTGAATGATACATGTCTAACATGAAGCATTTTAACAAACAATTTGGTTTTAAGTGTTTTCCCATCCTCTGGGAAGCTATTATAAAAATGTGTGCCATTGATGTTTTATCTGGCATTAGGATAAATGTATATGGTTTTGATAATGTGTTAGGTGAAGGAAATGTCCATATACAAGGAAGAGTGTTGATGGATGTAATTTGTACTGAGTGGTTCTTGTTTTCTGTAAGTCACATTCTCTGTTTAGGAAATAACTTTGTCAGTAACAAAAAAGACTAGAGGAATTTTGCATCTAAGCATATGTACTTCCTGCTTGGAAGGCTTCAGCTCATTTGACTGGAATTTAGGAAAGGTTACTTGTCGTGCAGTTAGCTCAGGGATAGAGGGGTAGAGCAGTTAGTGATATGTTGTTCCTGTCAAACATGTTTTGATTTTAGTTACATCCACAGAATTTAATAGGGTGAAGTTGCCTGTTCCTTTTCATTTCAAACTGAAGGTCCAGCAAAGGTATTTTTTTTTTCCCCTATAACATTCAGGGCTGCCAAACTAGAAGCCAGCTCAGGCTGAGTACCATAAAGTTAATGCTTCTGTCTACTAATGGTTGCCAAGGAGGAGAGCTGCATGCAGGCGTGGGCTCACATCCACAGGGGGAACTGGCTTTTGCTATGCTTCTTGTTGAAGTATTTGATTAGTAGGT